TATGGAGCCTTGTCACCCTGAGACCCTGCTAGTGACCGCAATTGCTGGACTGAAGCCTAACTCAATGTTTCGTTGGACCCTATGCCAAAACAAACCGGCTACGTTTCAAGAATTCCTTGTGCGAGCTCAACAATTCATTATTGCCGAGGAATTGATGTCGGTTCCCAGTTTCGACTTCTCGGCGAAAGAAAACAAGACTGAACCGGATGCTAAAAAGAAGAATAAGAAGAACTTTGGGAAAGCACAATTTCGGAGTTTCTCCAAAGGATATGAAAATACTCCAGAGTCCAGGGCCGCTCGTGATCAGTATTCAGACAATGTCAGGACAGGCTATCAGGCCGTTTATTCAGCCGGAGCAGCTACTCTATATGAAGAACTGAAAGGAAAAGGGATTATTCCAGACCCAAGACCTGTGAGGACCCCTGAAGACAAGCTGGACAAAACTCGGTACTGTGCATACCACAAGTCTCCGGGACATAATACCAATGAGTGTCTCGGTCTTTTGTCAGCCCTTTTACGGTTAATTGGACAACCTCAACTTCAAAAGTTCCGAAATTTCGACAATCGCCGGAAAGGAAGGCTTCTAGATCTTTCAGATGACGAAGATGATGATAATCGACCTGTTAACCCGAAAAGAGCCCGCGCCAATGATAAGGAGGTTTTCACATTTTCTACTCTTGTTGGAACTCCGACCGATAATTGCAAAAAATCCAGGACACATGATACCTCGGACTCTTCACATTGCATACCTCGAGTCAATTCCAATAATAAACAGTTGGACACTTCTCAACGGAAAGCCAAAGCCTATGCCAGGGAGGCCCAAAATGCCGAGAAACGAGTCATGAACGTTGATCTCCGAGATACCATTAACAAACGGAATTGTCCTATCACATTCAGTATCGAAGATGCCAATCTATTCGCTCATCCTCATTCTGACGCCCTTATTATCACAGCCCCGATTGGAGGAATCCCTGTTCACCGAATTTTGGTCGATACAGGAGCTTATTCGAGTATTTTGATGCTCCGCACTTTCAAGAAATTGGGTTTGGACCCAACAGATATTAGACCTTGCAACGACCAAATTCAAGGTTTCAATGGAAGCATCTCTTGCCCTGTCGGCGAAATATTGCTCCCTATTCGATTCAGCGGTTTTGGGCCAAAATCCAAGATTATCATGGAAACTTTCAAAGTCTTGGATGTCCAGAATGAATATAATGTTGTTATAGGGCGAACTGCACTTTACAAGCTCCGTGCTGCCGTGTCGATTTTTCATTATGCCTTGAAGTTCCCTACCATTGAAGGAGAAGGCACTCATTACGGAGATCAACGAGAAGCTCGAAGTTTGACGTTGATTTCAACCTCGCGTAACTTTTATATGATTGAAGAGCAAGATACTGATAACTTTATTGGGTTGAACAACCCAACCCCTTCTGATGCTGAAAGAACTAATCAATTCGCTTCAGATACCGACATCCCTCTTGCAGATACCGATGTTCCTATGACGTCGGGTTTGCCCGAAACACCAAATGAAGTCCTTGATCAAGAACAACCTTTTCATGAGAAAGACATAGGGATACACGAAGATATGGATCCACGGATGCAATTCAAAGATAAGAATCATTATGCCCGAGC